TTTTTTAGTGCTTCATTGGTTTTTAAGGGCCTAATGTAGTATTTTTATATGAGCCCATGGCAAAAACACTTTCTACTTCAAAGCTACAATTAAACATACTAAAATACAGAACTTATTTGAAAATGAAAGTGAAATTGAAAAAATCTTAAGATTTGTTTTATATCATCTTTCAAGTGAAACATCTTTTAGAGTTCCCAAAAATTTTACAATTTGACAACAATGAATTTTGAAGTCAATGTATTATGTTTTTTGGATGGTACATCCCATCACCCATTTCTGATGATTCATCTGTAATCTCTCTGGTATTAATTAACCCTTTTATAATACAGGAAGTACTGCTCAGATTTTTAATCACGAGTGAAAAACAGAAGATTTGATAAACTTTCTCAAAGTTGTTTTTTAATATAGTCATGAATGAGTTGTGTGAAATGCTATTCAAATATGGTTGCAAAAATGAATAATACCTCTTTCTCAGCAATTCTTTCAGCTAAAGATTTCTTTTAGGTCTTTTAGTTTCTGTTTCAGTTTTAGAATTTTCTTCCTTTTTCTTTTCTTCTTTCTCTTCATCTTCATCCTCCCAACTTTCCTGTGATGAAATTCAACAACATAAAATTCACAAAGAAACTTTTCTAGATTAAGTATTAATGGTTACTACAAACTATTGTATTACAAATTTCAAGAATGTTTTGTCTATATAAAAATTGTATAGTCACCTCAGCAGTTCATATGAAAAAGGCAAAATGTTGGGGGATGGGTATTTGAGAAAGCCACAATGCATAAAATGATAAAAGCTCTTCTATCTAGATCAATTTTGGATTAACAACTACCAACTTCCTCAGGAATGTTACAATACAAAGATTGATAATTTAAATAAATAACAGTTTATCATTTCATACAAAAGCAGCTTACAAAACACATAATACTAAAAATTTCACTGAAATCAGCTTTTTTTGGAAGTAACCTGAATTAAGGAACATAAACTGTACCTAATTTCCTGAGTCAGATTTTTGCAATGCTTTTACTATACTCTCTGTCACTCATATCTCAAATTGTTTATAATAAAAATTAGTATCAGGGATATCACACATTTTAGTAAAATTAACTTATCTAATTCTTGTGAGAAGCAGTTTGAATAAAGATAATAAGAATAACTATACAAATTTAATGAGATACATCTCGATTTTCTTAAATTAGCATTTCAAACAAAAACTAAAAAGTTATGAACTATCAAGTTTCAGACACACCTTATAGACTCCTAGTATATGCAGGTATAAAGGCACATATTACAAAAAAAAAATAGTTAAATAATGGTGATATTTCCTGAGTGCCCATGATTTCAACAGTTGCAATTAATTTCATCATACAGGCATTCAGTCAAAAATGCACTGCCGTTGAAAAATTGTGGTGGGCAGTAACAGCATAGTGTATGGTATCCTTTATTGCATTATGATGCATCTTTTTATGTAATCACGAGTAATCCAGAATTAACTTGAGAATGCTTATAATGTCCATATTTACCTTCACTTCGTCATCTTCATCCTCGCCTTCCCATTTGTTCGGGACCACAGCAACTGTTGGCGCAGGCACGTCTGAGGGCACGAAGTATCGTCGTCTGAAAAATTTAATTTTCAGTTGCGATTTGGCTACCAATACCTTCATTTGAAACTCACCCCACGATTCCATATTGCAATAGTCGCTACCTGCGATACAGCTGGAATTTTCTGCAACTTCTGCGCGATTCACGTGTACAAACTGATTACTCACCCAGATGACACAAGTAGACGGGTTGCTTTTGACCGCTGTCGCTGCTCACTGGTTTATTATTGATAAATATCAAACACGATGCCTGAACTTTATGAATATTTGGTTCGGGGCTAATGAAATACTTGAATACAGCAAAATATCACTCAAAAATGAGAACGACCTTCGAACATCCATTATAGTTTGACAGTTGACAGCTAATAGAGATGGGCAAAAATAACCTGTGAATTGAATAACTGGCTTATAAGTTCGATTAACCGGCTATGTTATAATAGGTTACAAAGGTTTATTTTTTGCCTACAAAACCCACCATGAATATGGGCGACCCTGAGAGACGGACAACAAACTCATTAAGGGCAGTATCGGTCAGTCGTTCCTACAAGTGTAGGAGGCGTTTATAGCCTCCTTAATTTTCACAGTTTTCTACTGATCCGTGTCAGCGCTCTATGTTGAGGTTATGTTTACAAAAAGTCATTCGCATCGACTTTTTCATGCTTTTGATTATGACATCTGTTTATATAACCTGAAATTTTTCTGCGATTCAAAAAGAAAACATAGCCTCACAATAGGAGAGCGCTGACAGTGACATGGAACAGTAGAAATCTAGAAGAACACCACACCCTTCATGGAGGAGAGAAAAGACTATAAAAATCAAGGACGCCATAAAGGCGTTTTACAATAATTTATAGGAACGACGAATTTTGTAACCGGTTGACAAAACAGCGGATGACAAAGTAAAGGTATCAGGAGAGCTTGATAATACTCATGTTTTTTCATTATTGACCATCTTTTTCCAACAGCCGTCTTAGAGTCAAATAACATGGCAAAACTGACACTACAGCGTCCTTGGCAGCTTTGCTCTTATGATTTTTCTCTTATTTTCGTGTATGTGACACAAGTTTGCGATCTACCACATTGGCCGTATTTATACCGTATGTACCCAAGCGCGATGTAAACGAGCATAGGACAAGATTTACGAACAGAAATAAGGTTTTCTGATATAATTTATTCTTCATTGCGGCTTTCATATACAATCATGTAATACAAAACAAGTATGAATAAAAAAAGTACACACACAAAGAAGACGGTAAGTGATCGTAGCAGAGTACCAAGTCATCCTCATACTAGCATCATATTTGCCAACGTGTTCCGAATATCCACTGGGTAACTATTTTTTACCATTTATTTAGAGTTGTGGGCTCACGCTTCCACAACTACTCATTATTATACTTTTTTGGTTCGTCATTTTAACTAGTTTTGCACTGAGTGCAGAAATATCGCAAGACCTGAAAATTTTAGGATGAAAATGCTATAAGTCACATAGATATCCTAAAATGGCCATCTTAAATTGTTAATGAACAAAAATAAGTGACATTTTCGGTTACCGCATAACCGTTTATTTTTGCTTCGGTTAACGTGTTAACCGATCCAGGTTGAAGTATTAAAAAAATAACCGGTCAATCTACAACAGGTTTTTTTATCAATTACAGCCCATCCCTACAATTTAATAGGGAGTTTTGGGCGAACGCTTGCCAGCGCCAGCTCATCATACACACAAGATAGTGGTGGCAGTTCTCTCACCAACCGTGATTTAGTAACTGATACTTCTAAATCATGAATCTGTTACCAAATACCGTGATTATTTTTTGTTACGGCTCTGTCAATATTATATATAGAAAAAAGTTGTTGATTCAACTTTGTAGCTTGAATAACAAGCTATAAAAGTTGTGGTTTCTATATTTTCATATATACATTCCGCTCTTCAGGCTTCAACTCTGGATAACGGTATAGTTTCAGGGAAATACTGATTCAGGACAATTTGGCATTGCTTAAGCCTATGCATCATAAATAAGCACAAATTATTACAAAATATTCATATTATATGCACATACTAACTTTTGGTCACGATTATCACCTTCGTTGGTTTTGTAATTAATCAATAATTTAACATATTGCATATCTATCTGTACATTATATATTTTCATTCAACCAAAACTTTTTACTTATTTGTTAAGTGCGCCACTCGCTCCAAGACGGCCATGAACACATCCTGAGTACGGAAAATGTCACAAATATTACGTAATACAAGTTATCATTGCTTGCGTGTAGGCTGGTGAAAACCATTTTGAAGCAGGATGACACTCCCCAATGAGCGCTAGATGGGTATTCACCAAAATCGCTCATCAATGATCATGGAGGTGGAAGCCTTGCCTTAGAATTTAAAAAATTAGGTGTTGTGATCTTCAAATATTAGCAGCCTACCACTTACGGATTATGAAACTTGAAAAAAAACAGACGCTGCTATCAGGGATTAATCTCGCTACCTACACTTTCTATCATTGTACGAAAATAATGGATAGCCATTAGTTTTCAAAGCCGGTAATTGTTTTTCGGGGTTCATTATTGAGCGCGTCGTTTTTACTTTTCAGCGTCTTTGTGAATTCCTTTTATTTTTACCTGGGCCACACATACAATCTGAGTGGGCAAAGTATTTTCAGAAAGCATTAGGTATATATTCTCACATTATCAACAGAAACTGTTCAGGATTTACGATTTTTTTTACATCTAAGCAGCCGCGCAGGCAGGAGCCTAAATGCCGGAACACCGCGGCTGCTATGATAATTCCAAAGACATTTTGTTAATACGATCCTGAACTGCCTAATGCTAGCAGAACTGGGAAAAGCTTCCTCTTGTAGATTGTTCCACAGTCTTGACACCCTCGGGACAAAGGGGCCGTTGTATCGGCCAGTTCTGGATGTACGAAGCTCGACACGGTTAGGATGGGATGCTAAAGTCAGGCGGCTCTGTCTCGCAGGCATCATGGAAGAGAGCTCCGAGGAGCAAAGCCCGTTGGTGTAGCGGTAGGAAAGAGCTAGATCGCCGACGGCGCGCCAGTGCGAAATAGTTCCGAGACTGTCTGTTAGAGAAGAGTCATCGAACAGTCGGACCGCCCTCTCTTCAAGTTTGTGGTTATGTTATCACTTTTGCGGCAGTTTCCGGTATTAACTGGACTATGTTCTTATTCGGGTTTTCTATTTACTTCTCTCTACGATATATTAAATAACATCGATGAAATTTGCTTCAAAATAACTAAAGAAGTCGAACTTTGTTGTGCTATATTTCCTTTTCTAGAAACCAGGTATGTTTCCTCTTCAGTACATTTAATCTACAACAAATGGAAAATAATATCTACAAGTTTTTCACTTTGATAAGATGTATGGCCTAAAATGGGACTCCAAAATCAGGCAGATCATCGGCGAAATATAATTTTTGTAAAAGTGTACCTACCCCAAACACTTTTTGAAGGGCAGGGGAGCGACAACTCCTACAAATTGCTGGATTCTCAGCCTGCCCTCCCTGCGGACGCTTATGGTAGAATTGCGTGGAGGACGTTTATAAAAATAAAACAAAACTATTATACAACTAATGATTTAATATGTATTTACAACACTGGATTCTTATGTAATGTAATGTAACCCAAAGATAAAAGTACGAAATAATGGTAAATAATTAAAACGAAAGCGGCAACGTATGAACGAAAGGAGGAACTCACATGGTGAGTTCCATGATGGCGTTTACTATATCATTACTATTATTCTTTAGCGCCTTCACAGCCTTCGCTCGGCTTACGTTCGCTTGTGACATCACCAACTCTACGTCTTTCTCCTCCACACCAGATTCGTCGACCTGAAACAAAAGATCACGCCAATGAAGAAATTTGACATGAAAAGCGTCCATTTAACCTAAAGTGGCATTCCAGAATACATGACTAACAATTCAGACTGGCACAGATAAAAGGCTGATCATATGTTTCCACACACTGTGATGATCACACTGGAAAATGCAACAGTGGGACCATTTCTAAGACAAAGCAGAAGCAAATAACCATGATAGGTTCATATAAAAATGGATCTAACCGAGATACATGGTACTTGTACAAGAAGCTCAATGCATCCTAGTTTGAAAACACATTGAAGTTAGTGAAATTTGACATTGAAAATTGTATTAATTGCATTAGGAGAGTAAACCTGTCACTGTAGCATCATCAGAACAATATTAATGTTTTGTACTTATTCAGTCTCAGTAGCATAGAAATTTACAACACACTGTATCTTGACTATAGAATATTTTATAATTATGTTTACAGTAACCTTTTTGTTATTTTGGGATGCACTGTCTTCTCTAGAAATTGTAGCATTGTCTTTTAATCACCCTGTATACAAATTACCAAAAGAAATAGTACCATCATATGATTTTATATATTATATAAGTAATTTAGAGAATTAATTCCCTGTATGTGTCTTTTTCCATCAAAATGTTGTGTAAGATGCTTAGCCTTCAGTGGTAGACCACCTTTTTTGAAATTGTTAATAATGCTCCCTGGAATGAGTTATTGGATTTATTGATATACATTATTACTTTATGAATAATAAAGCTTCCACCTTTAGTTGGGTACTTCAACAAGATTCATACTTTATTAGTCTCTAGCTTTCAATGGACTATGCCACCATCATCAGGAGCTACAATAACATTAAGAAGAAATAGCAACTATTGTGCATAACGTTTTTAAATTACTTACAATAGTATGAAGATTGCATGTTACATCGTGAAATAACCACTTGATGCTGCACAAAATGGTGTGTGACGGGATCATAAGTAGAATGAAACATTTGACAAATGACAGAAGGCTGGTAGTGTCAGTGTCTATGGATGGAACGAAAGTTTGTAAAAATGTGTGCTATGCTGCCAAATCACTTGAGATGGTGAGATTTATCAAGATATGTTGAATAAAAACGTGTCAACAGACCAGAGGCAGTTGAACAAACTATAATATTGATGAGATAGACAATTAAATTAAACAATTATTTTATTATGAAGCTTTATTTTTCACCTAACTGGTTTAGACAAAAATAACCACGTCTCAAAAATATATATATATACATATATGTGTTGGGAACCATACAAGATCGCTATGGACTGGGTTATCCATGCGACCGTCGGGACTCCCTTTTTAATTTCGCACAATTGTGATATCCCAACTATATAGAAAAATAACGGAGATAGCAATGGTGTGCTGTCTCAAATACTACATACAAATTAGGTGAGGTTAGTAAGCAATAGCACCTACAGTAAGAATTTATAGTTCAAGATCCCAGGGCTCACAGATGCGTATTTAGAATTGTCATTATTGTGTAGTGTTTCTCTGTAATTGGATCTTGCATTTGTTGAGAAATATACCAATAAAATAAAAATCTATAAGACATGACATTTTTTGCAGCTGTATGATTATCCTTTTGGATACCCTGGATAAAAATCAGCCATCAGAATTCAAATGAAGTGTTATTCTTACTTAACCTTCTTCACCTGGTACCTGCAATAGAACCTTCAGCCAACTCAGCAGGTAGGCAGTTGAGTTTTGTCAAACAATGTTACAGAGACACCAGAGATTCTAGGAGAAAATTTTATGGACTGATGAGTCGACATTTAAAAAAGATGGTTATATGAATCTATACAAATTGCACAAGTGGAATGTACACATTTGATCAGACAAGATAGATTACAGTGTCATTTTGAACATGTGGACTGGACATGTGGAAATTTTCTTACTGGGGAGCAGTGAAGAAAAAGTTTACTCAGAGCCAATTGAAAATATAGCTGAGCTACAGGAGTGAATTTCTGAATAACGGAAGATTCGCCCATCTGATAACCTGATCATTTTTAAGTTTTCAAGCTAGCATTGCTGCTGAAGGAAGGCAGTTTGAACATTTATTGTGAATTTAATAAATACAGTCACGAATTAATAAAAGTGGTGTTACTATATGTCTTGTCACTAAGTGGCACTGTCCATCACTAGAAATTGAAATTTGTAGTAATGAGAACTGAAAGATCATCGCAGCGTGTAGATTTTTCCGATTTTGTTTCCAGCCTATAATTTGAAAAGTATATGACTTAGATTTTTTATATTGTTCTGATAACTATTATGACTTGGCCTATCTCCCATTTCCAGTGTGATGTCAACCTCTGTTACAACCTGTATAAGCGGTATCCAATGCCTCTGTTTTGCCTTTCAGAAAACAAGTAATGTCTCACAGCTCTGGGATTTGAAATGGTCTTTGGAAGGTAGTTATAATAAAAAAAGAAAGCTCCTCACCTCCTCATCCTCAGACTCTTCTTGTATCGTGCCCACCTGTCCTGCGGCCCCCGCAGCACCAGCCGCCGCCCCTACAGCCAGCGCCCCATCATGGGCTGCCAATCCAGCTCCACCGGCAACACCAGCCCCTGCGGCAGCCGGATTCGCCTCTTTGAATTTTTCTGCAGCAGCCACTTGGGCCTGCTGTGACAGATCCTCTATCTTTGCCTCACCAAACACAATGTATGTGTCACTGACAGGGTTTTTGTACACATCAGGTTTTGTGATCACAAAGAGGATGTTCTTGGATTTGCGAATCGTCACGCGGCTTACACCTTGGACCTAGAAATTGATGGAAATATATTCATCGTTATTTGATAAAAGTCCTGTCAAAAATATATGGAAGTCAGTACCCATCAGAATTAATTTGCAAGGTAATCGTGTAATATTCTGTGTAGGACACTGAAACTTAAATAGCTAGCTGACACACAGGTTTTGTTATATATATATAAAATACTACAAGCACTCGATTTCATTTAGGCAGCAGTGGTGGCCACAGTAGTAGACTCTTCTGAAGTGGATCAAAAACTTTACAAAGATATTCTTAGTGAACATGTGCTCCCTTTTGCCGAAGAAGAAATGCCTTTACTATGACATTCCAGCAGGATAATAACCCCAAGCATACCTCAAAATTTGTAAAGGACTGGTTATGACTAAATGATAATATTCTTACATGTCCTTTGCAATCCCCGTACTTAAACCCTATACAATATCACTGGGAGCATGCAAAAGACAACTGACAAGAAGAACTTAAAAAAATTGGAAAGATTCATTTGATTATGTAAAAAATATTTGGCAAAATATCCCAACAGATGTCAGGTAGTGTTAAATACTATGCTACCAAATATCAGCTAAACAGTATTTTTTTTAATCTTTTTGTGGAGTTATTGTATTTAATTTTCATAATAAAAAGTATGTTTCCATACTTTTGTTGTCTCATTTTCAGTCATAAAACAATATGAAGGTATTTTAATGCTAGTCTGTAGTACCACAGCAAACACAAATTGTCATATATATCCTCAATACTGTAAGCAAGCTTTATGAGAAAAAATAGTCCTCAATAATAAAGAATAAAAAATTAGCACACTTTTAAAAATAATTCCTAAGGATGTTTCCAAACTTTTGTCGGCTACTGAATAGTCAAATGTATTGTGATATTTTAACCATACTACTTTTTTTTTTGACAACCATATGAACTTTATGAAATTTGGCTAAATATACTACTACTACTATAGTAGAGAGTACCAGCAAAAACTGTAATTTATAACTTGAAATAGAATGTATTCTCAAAATCATCACGTCATCCAATAGCTATTCAACTTTTAGGCCCAGAATATTACACAATTTAGTTTAGTAACAATAGAGAAATAGTTTGCTTAAAATTCAATTTTCTTCTAACCTCAAATTACTTAATCAATCAGCATTACCAGCCCTGTATCTATGCAGGCTCCCCTTAAAAAATCTGTGAGAATGGAAATGTTCATCTTGAGCCTTTGTTCTGCTTTTCAAAATTTAGCTAGATGTTTCAAAATATATTGACAAGTTTCAAGTCCATACATACTTAGTGCAATATTTGTAAGCATTTTTAACTAATAATTTTTATGAAATTGGCCTCAAGAGTTAAGAGAATAATGATGGTGTGAAATAATATATAATAAATATCATATAAAAGTAATTTTCAACTAGAAGGCTAGAAAAGTTTTTGATGGAACAGGCAATCAAAATGAGCTTATGTGAAACTACAATATGAAAAAAGGTTTTGTTAGCACATTAACAAACAGCATTAAACGTTTTCTAAGGAAATGAAATTACTGGTATTTTTTTCCCCAAGGTCCCACGTTACTAAATGCCACATTTAAATACATTACATCTGGGTCCCTATGACCCATATGACCTGAAACATTACCATTGACTACACATAGGGACACATGGTCTGTGCACCAATCTGATGCATATGGTTGTTAATGTGTTCAGTTTTATAGTAAAATCCAAAATACCCCAAACTTTATGGCAAAACCATTTGCTTACAATTTCATCATTCTTGCCTGATTTTTAGTACTTCTAAAGGAAAATTCTGACTAGGTATGTATCTACACATTGCAAACAATACTGCTAAGATATAGTCTAGAAATAACTGATATATCAAAGATATATGGATGGGTCACAAATAGTGCCCATCTAGATGCTTCATTATAGAAGTCAAAAACAGTCTTGCGAGAACTCATATCTCTAATGTGCTCGTCTATTAATGCATCTGGTTCTTTTGGAAAAACATATCCATTCTTTCCTTTAAAAGGTATGAAGACAGTTTATTTTTATTTGTCTAGTGAGGTCATTTTGGTTATCCAAATCAACTTTAAGCCTTAAAGCCAATTTGATTGTGTTTATCACTTACTGGTTTCAAGCCTAACTTTGACATAATTTTCCTAGCTTTCTTCTCCCCCCTGGACTGCTTGGCCTTGGAGACCATGTCAATTGGCAAGCCAGCTGCTGCGGCCCCAGGGAACGACGCTGCGGCCGCCGCAGCATTAACTGCAGTCCCTGCATTGCCCCCTGCATCTTCCAACTCTGGGATGTCTTCTTCAGTGTCACTGTCAGTGGAAGATTCTGATTCAGGCTTGCTGGCCTCTGCGACTGCGGGTTTCTCCACTTCCGTCATTTCTGGCATGCTGTCCCTAATGCAGTCGTAAAGGTTAATGGGGCGAAGGTCGAGACGTTACAAGAAGTGGTTTTGGCGGGTATATCAGACTGCCAAGAGCCGAATCACGGTGGTTCATACATGAAATTGCGAAACCTTGGTGAGAGTTATCATCATGAAGATCGAATTACGTTACAGCTAAAAATAAACATCGCCGTTCCGCGGTTTTCCGGCATTTTGGTATCTCGGTTAATTGCATGAATACTTTATCCAAGCGTAAATATTGGTTGTAACAGCGTTAGGATAACACAAATTTCAGTTAGGCTAGATTCTATTATGGAAACATTTCAGGATTATTTAGATATATGCGGAAAAAACTACCTTATTTTCAGAGTATCAAGCAAACCGACACAAGTGGAAGGCACGGATCACAAAAAGAGAAAAAAGGAAAAAAGGTACGACCCATACCATCTGTCAAAAGTTCTTGTTTTATGATCCTCCTTTCGTTAAATAACTGTTAAGTGTCAAGCCATATGACAAACAACTGTCAGTGCTGTCATGTGTCATGTCTGTTTTGTGAGTCAGTTTATTTTTATTTGTTGAGGAGGTTGATTGAAAACAATAATAAATTTATGAGAAAAAGTTTAAAGTATTACCTCTAATAATAAACGCAAAATCAAATTCGAAAAGATGACGGCACCAATGGAACGAATTCAAGTCCTAGACTCCATTGAGAAGGATATAATAACATGTTTACATAGTGCAGGTAAGTTTTTCCATTCCAAATGTTGAACAAAATAAAATATATCATGCAATTTCTCACTGTAGGTCAAGTATTCGTAGAGCTAAGCAAAGAAAAATCGAGTCTGAAGCAAGCTGAGAATCATACACAGATGTTCCTCAAAACATTGAGTGCTGTTGAAAACAAACTAACAGATCAAATAAATTATCTCACACAGGTAAGAACTGTTCTAGTACCTCATAAATAACCTACTGGTTCAACTACAATGTATGTTATATCTATTAAGTCGAGACTTCACTAAGACCAACTTATCAAGTAATCAGTCTCAGTCATTTTGCAGCTACAGAATATAGTATGCTGGTCACCAACACACTTTTCATACAATGCATTTGTTTCCTCCGCAGGTATCAACTGGCCAACCACATGAAGGCAGTGGCTATGCTTCCCAAAAAGTCTTGCAGATGGCTTGGCATCGACTGGAGCATGCTCGGTCCAGAGTAAATGAACTGGATAGAATCAAAGTGAAACACGTGCAGGGCAGACCTGCTACTGCAGCCTCAGTGCTGGCTCAACGAACTGCTGGGTCCACCATAGGGCAGAGCACGACAGTACCTGGGGGCCAACCACAGCAGGCACCTACCTCTGCTGTGCCCCCTCAAGGGGGTGGAGTGCAAGGGCCAGGAACTGGTGGTAGCGGTCAGCAACCAGGGGGAAATAATTAATGGAATCAAAGTTTTTGTCTACTGTATGAGTGATTGTAATTAAAGCTGTTCCAAATCCAAGTGAGACTAAAATAGACTTATATGTGGACCAGATCAGGGTTCCAGTACAGACACCACAGAAGAGATATTATCCAATCTAATAACTTAGTCTCCAACTAAAACAGGGGTAGTGTGTGACAGTGTCTACATTTATTCTGTTTTGGCTTTGAAATGGAGTTTAGTTCCTTGCATAATTATGAAATTAAGAACAAAATATGTATTGAGCAAATGAGTTAGTAAGATTTTGGTGCATCTTATTTTACATGTCTCAAGGGTACAGGATCAGAACCATATATTTGTTAAGCAAAATATATATCCACGAACATTGATTATGATTCTGCAAAAAATTGTATGATCTTTTATGATGTCACAGACTGAGAACTAAATTACTTTTGTAAACTTCTAATACAGTATTTAAGGCCAACGAAAAAGAATGTTTCATTTATATGCTGATCAAAAATTTGCTATTCGCTAAATAAAAGTTTTTAGTAATGTTCACTGGACTATAATTTTCCGCACCTACAACAGGCAGCCACGTGACTAGCCATTTCTTTGATGATTGGATTTAACTGAAATCTATTAAGCTAACCTCAAAATTTTAAAGCCCTTGTCAAACAATGTAAACAAGTCTATGTAGTATTTTAGGAGCTTGCATTGCAAAAATAATGGAAATGCTATCTTTAATATTCACAATTTTTTTCTTAGTATTAGCACCCAGAACACAAGCAGACGTAAACCTATAAACTTTTGACTTCTTTCGTGTTTACTCAAAAAAATTTTATTTCAGGCAAGCATACCTCACAAGTTTGCAAACTCAAATCACACGAACAACTGGGCAGTCTTAGTAGATACAAGCAGGTTTTGGTTTAACTACAGACATGTTGCAAATGTTTTATCGATTTATAGAAGTGTTAAGCGTCTCGGTATACCTGATAGTCAAATTATCCTCATGATTGCTGATGATATGGCTTGTAATCCTAGAAACCCGAGGCCAGCAACAGTTTTCAATAATGCTAACCAGCATATTAACGTTTATGGTGATGATGTTGAGGTAGATTATAGAGGATATGAGGTTAGTATTAAAAATAAAGAAATCATTTGCCCACATTTATTAGAAGGCAATGCTTATGTCCATCCCAGAAAAAGCTGCTGTGAGAATTGTTTGTGCATTTGATGATATACCCTATTTCACGAGTATCCATCGCGGTAAAATGACAGCTGATTATCTAGTAATATCTCAAAATTCCCCATATTGGCACAGGACACATAATTCTGATGGATCAGTCAACACCAGGTAGACAAAGTGATTCTTGTTTTGTTTTTTATATGCTACAGATTCATTTTGTACTTACTAAGAGCTCTTTTATTTAGGAAAGTCCATTTGTATACAAAAAACAAAATGCCACAAATAAGTTTTACTAGATTTATACCTGATCCATTATGACCAACATTGCAGACTAACACAAAAATGTCACTACTTAGAAAGATCTTAACTTATTAACTTTCAAACTCAACAAAACATTCTAAAGAAATGAACTTGTAACTTTTCCTAGGTGACAGTAGAAAACTTTGTCAGATTATTAACTGGTAGGCTACCTCCTGGCACTCCTAGGTCAAAACAGCTACTCAGTGATGAAGGTAGCAATATTCTAATATACCTCACTGGACATGGAGGGGATGGTTTTCTCAAATTCCAAGATTCAGAGGAGATCACAAATCAAGAGATGTCTGATGCCTTGGAACAAATGTGGCAGAAACAAAGGTATTGTGATATGACCATTAAGTATAGTTTCATCAATAGGTTATGGGCCCAAAAATTATATACCCAATGTATGAGTCTATGCAGTATAATCAGAGATGATGACATCAGCACAATGATAAAGCTATCTAAGCAGATAGTGTGACCAAACGATTTTCATAGTTTCTTTACAATTATCACACAGGCCCACAATATAAAAGAAGTGGTGTGTGCTTAGGGTCCCACTATGTTTGTCCCATATACTTTTTCAACTCAAATCTGATATCAGAATGCAAGTCAGGGACAAATGAGTAAGTAAGAAGTCCCTGGGGGATGAACATCCACCTAAAATTGTAAAAATTTTAATTCTGGTCTAAATCACTTTCATATTTGTTCATCATCCCCCAATTTTGACTCAAGGTTTGTATTGGTAGGGAAAGTACATGGGAAAAAAATGTTTGGACCTAAAGAACACCACTTTTTTATGTTGTGATCCCTTGTTATTGGTTTGCTTACATACTTCTCTGCTTCTTTCAGATACCATGAGGTGTTTTTCATAATAGACACTTGCCAAGCAGCATCAATGTATGAGAGGTTTTATTCACCAAACATTTTAGCAGTGGGTAGCAGTTTGGTTGGAGAAGATTCTCTTTCTGTGAGTTTCAAATATTCTTTTGGTGTAACTGTTTGATCATCATACACATTTTTAGCATCATGTTGACCCAGCAATAGGCGTGTACATCATAGACAGATACACTTTTTATGCTCTTGAATTTTTGGAAAGTATAAAGCCAAATAGCGACAGAACTGTGGCAGAATTTGTGAGTAGTTCTTTGACATTGGGAATTATGAAATTTCTTATTTTTTCGATGTTGTAGTTGAAGGTATGTCCTAAGAGTGTATGCATCTCAACAGTAGGTGTGAGAACAGATTTGTATAAGAGGAATCCCGAAGAAGTACCCATCACTGATTTCTTTGGATCTGTAAGGCCAATTGAAGTGATCAAGGAAATTATTCAAGTTAGACTTCCAGATATCCCTAAGGCAGCAACTGAAAATGAAAGCCATAGCACTAAGAAATACGTCTACGTTCCCCCATTTATTAATTTCAGTGATGATATTAAACAGTATTAGTTATGTTTCTTTGTTATCATTATTATTATTATTCCAATCACCCTATCAAAAAGCTAAATAAGACTACAAGGATTTAATCCCAAAAACACAGTGACACAAATGCAAAATAGAGCAGTTCAAAAATTGAATGACTCAAATGTTGAAGGAGGCAAAATGAAATAGAAGATTTAAATATAAATAAAATTGTATATTAACAAAAAAAGTACGTCATGTTCACATTTTTTCAGGTTACACAAAACTCGTATAAGGAAGATCTTGACATGAAGAAAAATGTACATCATAATATTATCACTGTTACAATACAAAGAATTCCTCAGCCTAATTTTCGTATCATTATTTTCTCTATAAATGCTTTTTCCTAAAGTTTGGTATCCTTTCTAGTAGAGCATAAAATATATTTCCCGGCCTTCGTTGATGTTTACTGATGAGATCTTCAATTGCTGATGCCACCTGAAAAAATCAAGTTTAATTTTTAAAATCACATCACCAAAAATAAGAGAAAAATATTTTTACAATTTGCCATTTTTTTAAAGAGCTTACAGTCAGTCATATTATTTAGAAAAAGTTGATTGATTATGAGGCAACAAATACATACCTTAGCTTGTAGCTGTTCAGGTGTAATTCCTGGATCATAAGGTATAGGTTTACCAAGATGTGTTACCATTTTGACAGGAAATCCGCCATATAATGGAGCAAACGGAAATTTGAATCTCGCATACAATTTCAAAAACAATCTTCGTCCTATACTCATTGTCCTAAATGCTTCTCTAACGTTCTCTGTGAACATTGGAATAACTGGCTAAAAATATTTACAAGTTGACTTGAGGTTACATACATTTGTTAAAACAATTGATCATGTAGTTATTTCTTTTAGAATGTTTCCGCCATTAGAATTATATGAGATATTTTCTCTAAATTATTTTATCCAATCTAAAAAAGTCCAGTTTTTTGTCTGCCTCTATGACTCAGTACTAGGAAGTGTGGTACTCACAACTTTCGCGTCCAATGCGACTTTGGCAAATCCCAATCTCTTTTTCCACATTAAGGTGTAATGATGACTAAACTGTGCCTCATATACACCTCCAGGTGAAATGGCCAATAGATTTCCCTCTTTTAAAATATTTGAACAGCTTTGTACTGTGCCTGGAATCACTTTCATACATTCTGCTATAATACTGAAACCTAAAATGATCAAATAATTCAAATTGGACATGTCATTTTACATTACACGACACTTTGTACTTTTATTCTGCTTCAAACAGGCAAGTGAGTAAATAGGCAAAAAACAGTCTCGTAAGTGACTGTTCTCACCGAAAGCAACCGACAACGCCAATCTGACTAGTCAAATGTAAAAATTGCATCAATTTGTCAAATAAAATATCGATTTTCGATGTGTACAAGTTTATGAATTTTTAGCCTTGGTTGGTTTAACGTCCATAACGTTGATTTAATTTTACATTTTAGATGTTTAAATTTTGCATGCATAATTATAAAATTTTGAGCCTAGAAAGTAGAAAGATCTTTAGTTGGAGTTTTATTTAGTCTGGCGATAAGTGCAGATGTTTCTTTGAATCGCGTTTGATGGTCGTGGCTAACAGAATGTAACAATTTTGGATTTTTTGTTAGTATTATTGAATGATAAAAATATATTTGCTGGCAGAGTTTCGTCGTAAAGATTTTCTGTGCGATAATTTGTTTTGTTTAACATCACCTTCAAAATCCACTTCTGCATGATTTTAATTTTTATTGATAATTGTTAATGACTGCACCCCATGCTAAGATTTCAGAAGATGTAACAGGTGCAGATATTTTTCGCTCAAAAAACTGCTGCAATGTTTGATTTTTGGAATGAGGTATCAATTTTTGTGTTGAATGTGTATATTCCATCTTAGATATTTGGAATTATCATCTGATTGTATGTTACTGTAGCTATTCGACGCTTTAATTTGGAGTTGATTTGTTTTGTTGAAGTCAATGTTAAAATCCTTTCAGTGAAAAAATATATAACCTTCAATTCAAAATTCAATGCAATTTTGTTTTCTAAAGGATCCCAATCTTTGTCTGAATAAATAATCGCCGTGTCATTAACGTCACCAATAATTTCTCCATCATTGTTCACCCTAAAATGATATACGTACAAATTAAATAGGATTGGTTCTAATATGGTTGATTGTCCCTTAACAGTATATTTTTTATGTATTGGGAGTATTGTCCTTTAGCAATAGTGTCATCCATTACCAGATTCGATCACTGCAAGAGTGAATAGCAGCTAACTGTAAAAAGTTCCGCAGTTCGCATCAAAATCAGAGCCCTGACTGTGATCTTGATACCGTCGATTCTGGCGTTTAGTAGATGTGGTCTAGTCGCCATTGGAAACTAACACGAGGGATGTCTTTTAAGTTTTGCATATGGAAATAAAACAACACGGTAGCTAGCTTTAAATGAATTGCTTTCGAAGTATTCTTCATGAAGATTAATACACATCTCGAACCAATTTTGAAGCACTTATTCCACTCGTTTGCTGGCAGATCCAAAACGGCATTTTTCAATGCGTCAACTGCTTCTTCTGGTGACTGGAATCTTTCACCACGCAGTCTGTTTTTAATTTTCGGGAAAGTAAAGAAATCGTTAGGACTTAGATCAGAACTATATGGAGGATGGTCCAATAATTCCACGTTTTCTTCCGTTAAATACTGCCTTGTTTTTTGGGCTGTGTGCGAGCTTGCATTGTCTTGGTGGAGGATGATTCTTCTTTTGGGGTTGATTTTTCGAAGCTCGGTGATGACTTTTGGCAAACATATGGTGGTATACCAATCCGCAGTAACAGTTGCAATATGACCCGCTTTTGACACAAATGTCGCGACCATCTTTTTCGAAACACTTCGAGAACGGATGACTTTTGTTGGCTTTTCTTCACCTTGGAACACCCAAACAGCCGACTGTCGTTTATTTTCTGGTTCATAACAGTAAATCCACGATTCATCATCACTAACAATGCTGTACACATTTTTTGAGTTCCAGAATTGAAACGGTCAAGCGTTTTTTGACACCATTTAACCCTGGCTGCTTTCTGCTCTTCAGTCAAAAGGTGGGGTATCCAACGAGAAACTAATTTTCTTACTCCTAATTCTTCATGTAAATTTTTTTGAATTGGGGTATTGGAGATCTTCAAGGACGCCCCAATCTCGCGATATGTCACATGTCTATCTTCAATGATGAGTTTGCGCACAGCATCGACGTTTTCCTGAGTGACTGCCGTTTTTGGTGCACCCACCCTGGGATCGTCGCTAAGACTCACCCGTCCACGTTTGAATTCTCCATACCAACGGAAAATTGTCGACTGATGTGGCGCTTCATTGCCGAAAACAGATAGTAACTCAGCAAGGCATTCTTGTTGCGATAATTGTCTCTGAAAGTTGTAATAAATTATGGCGCGAAAATGCTCTCGGTTGAGTTCCATTTTTCTAATAACTTGGTGACACTTAAAAATTCACCGTAGTGAGAACACTGCACGTATTGTTGTGAAACTTTGAATTTAAGTTTACTAGAGAGTGAGGTTAAGATTCAGTACTGACGTTCGATCCGCGCGGACTACTATGTTTCTATATGCAAAACTTAAAAGACATCCCTCGTAATACTGCTTTCGTCCGACCGATCAAACAGAGCGCCAACCGTGTACAGCCGTTTCATGTTTATTGGCAAACATCAGCATGGTATAGGCAGGACACCGGGAAGGAAAACAAACGGAAGCAATCAAGAACAAACGTCCTACGGACCGCTCTGACAGATAATGATAAACAGAAATCGAAAAAAGCAGTTTAAATCGTTCCAAGAAATAGCTGCTATTCACTCTCGCAGTGGTCGAGTCTGGTAATAGATGGCACGTTTGCTATCATATCTGGATAGACCTTATGCCTCCGATACTTCACACTGTTTTCGATCATTGTTCTTCCTTGAGACCTAGAACGTGCTGATGATTGCTAATAAGCATGAAACAGCTATACACGTGTGGCGCCCTGTTTTGGCGGACGTACGAACGTAGGATTATTATCCTTCAGTTGTTTCATTGACTCCATGGAAACATACTGTCCACAGTCCACATTATTTTAATGTTACCTCCACGATGTGTCGTTACAACTTTTGTCAGAATGATTTGAAGACGTTTTGCTAGTGGAAAAATGTCAGCATATGTATTAATGATACTTTTCATCTGGTGATTGCTTTCAAATGATTTTTGCATTAATATTATCTAATCTAAAGGACAACGTATACTATAATTAGCAAACGTTCATAATGTGTCGTAAAGTTTTACGTAAAATATCGATAAAATTATTCATCAAGTGTTTATGGCATTCCTGGGAAACTAAAGTACTAAAATAGGCGGAAGATGAATGCTATACTGTAAACATTAATAATACCCAATGGTTCATTTAGTTAAAACAATAGCGGTTATTGTTTCGGGGCTATAGCATGTACGCGGTCTGTAAATTAAGTGACCAGACTGATATTTTGAAATTGCTTTGTTCAAATATTACAATTTGATATTGTCACCCTCAAAAGAACTTCTTTCTGAAAGCACAAGGCGCTGGAGACGGTTCTTTCACTCCTCATAGCAGCGCTGGAACTCCGATTCTGGAATAGCCTTGAGCTGGTCGGTTACAGCCGTTTGAACGTTTTCAACTATCCCAAAATGAGTTCACTTGAGGTGATTTTTCAACTTCGGCAAGAGAAAAAAGTGACGAGGACCCAAGTCAGGCGATTAAGGAGGCTGAGGAGCCACAAGGAGCATTTTTGTGATTCAACACCCAGTTGTTCTTGACCTGATGAACGGTGGCGTGAATAAAATTTAACTCTTCCCCGATCATTCCGACTGTCAACCGATGAAGAAAAAAATTGATTCACAAAAAATCGATACCGACAATCAAATGACCCGAGCGAGGTCAAACTTATACTGAAGGCGGATTACTTGTCTCCCTGTCTCGCCTCCAAGCCCAGCGCCTCCAGTGTAGCCAGACCGAACGCTACGTTGCCAGTCTCATCACTTAATTTACAGACCTCGTATACTGTAGAACAACATCCAATAACATTGGATTTCATGGAACTAGTGTCCATAGTTTATGTATCTAAGTTAGGCGCCAATGGTTGATGCAGTGAATTATTAACAAATTATGAGTTCATGCACTTTAGTGACTATAAACATTTCAAAGCAGTTTGTATAATGTACAGGGTGTTTTCAAAGTTGAGTCATTTATTTTAACTGCTTGTAGGACTCGTCGAAAGGAGGTGATATACCAAAAAACACCTACATAAAAGTTGCATAATAAAAGAAATAGTAAGATTAAAATTTTAAAAAAATAAGAGTGTTATTACCCAGATTTTTTGATATTCTGCCGTGTAAAATCTTAGCGTTTTTTGTTTACTACCCTTATCGTTTATCTGAATTTGGCAAACTTTTGTTTTATTGTATGGTTTTCAGTACGAGTCTTTGGTTCGATCAGTTGTATCGCTCTTTTAATAGTGCGTATACAGTAAACTCTCAAGTATCCGGCTCGCCGCTATCCGGACTTCGGCTTATCCGGATCGCCTAGGACCCGGCGCCCCTAAACATAATTTTTACGAGTTAGAACGAGTTTACGTGTTGTAGTATGTACATACATAATTATGTACATATGCGTATTTCATTTAGTGCATAGATACGTTACAAATAAGCGAGTTGTTTTCGTTTGCGAATTGAATAAGTTATTTATGTCATGATGAGCAATAAGCGAAAGAAAGTGGACAATTGAGCAAAAGCTTGAACCGATAAGTGGAGGGACTTGTCAGCGAAGAAGAGAACACATTGGCAAATTATGCATTTTCTCATACCTTAATAGATACAAATGTAAATTCTGAGTTAAAATACATTTGCTTAATAAAGTTGCGTATGTCTGGACATTAATTCGGCTTATCCGGCTTTTTCGTTATCCGGACTAGCTGCCCGCCACCTTAGGCCGGATGGTTGAGAGTCTACTGTACTTGCATTTATCTAATTATTTTGTGCGAAAAAATGGCCCATCTTTACAACTAGTGGACATAATACTAACATACGGAGAATGCCAACAAAATGCCGCCGGTATGGAAGTTGTTTGCGGAAAGGTTTCCTTTAAGAAATCATCCGGCCACACGGATGTTTGTAAATTTAGTTATTAGACTTCGTGACACAGGGTATTTAAAAGAACAACGAGGAGGTCACGCTGGAAGACTTGCTCAACCTGAAATGTTGCAAATTGAGGAAGACATTTTAGAAATGGTCGAAAACGACCCAACAATGAGTTCCACTTTTACACGAAATGGAGTGCACAATTTCCACAACAATCATGTTTGGGCAGTAGAAAATCTGCATGCTATAAAAAGATAATTTTCAACGTAGATTTTTATCAAATGTTTGGGCTGGCATGGTAAATGGCATGCTTACAATACTTTTTTCCACCTCGACTGACCGGTGAAATCTATTCAAATTTTCTTCAACACAATCTGACACAATTATCAGTAGATGTTCCTCTAAATGTGAGACAGAATATGTGGTTCCTGCATGATGGGGCTCTCCACCACATTTTAGACGAGAAGTTCATGAACATATAAATAATGAGTTCACGAATAGATGGCGCAATGGACCCATTTCTTGGCCTGCTCGCTCCCCGGATTTAACGCCTTTCGATTTTTTGCTGTGGGGCAATTTGTGATGGAGCAGTAAATACTCTGGAAGGACTTCAACAGCGCACTGAAAAACCTCGTGATTTAATTCGTGGACACCAGGATTTTATTTTCGAAGCTTGTAGAGTCGTGGATTCGCCGAGCAAGATTTTGCGCTAATCGAACAAATGGGGACAATTTTGAACAGTTTTTGCAAAAATGGGATCCATTTAATTTGATAATGATTTTTTTAATTAATTTTTAATAACGTAAACTAACTCTCTTATTATGCCACTTTTATATAGGTGATTTTTGGTATATCGTCTTTTGGCGAGTTTTTCAAGCTGTTAAAATAAATGACTCAACATATTGTGCGAAAATGATGAAAAATAATAATTCAGACAATTATGTGTTACGATTCCGCTTGAAGGTTTATTAACCACTAACGGTTGTATTCTATCAATAGGTGCTGACTTTACTCTTATTAATTTGTTGTTGTTATCGATTTTTAAGATTTTGAACGTAATATCGACACATTTACAGAAATATATGTGATTTAATTGATTTGTTATTTATCTATGAATAGTTATGTAAAAAATAAGGTCCAATAATGATACATTAAATGTTATCAATATCATTTTATCAATAGGAAATTTTGTGATTAAGATGATCAGAATAGTTAAAAAAAAAATGAAATCGATCATTAGAAATACCTAAGTGCGTCAGACTAAGATATAAGGTACGTAAATTACATGCTGAATTTGAATTTTAATGATGTGACGATATTTGAGTGTGACGTGGGTAAATGGGAGAGTCACACACTGGCAAAAAAACGTCAACATGGCGTTGACATTCTGAAACGTGATAAATGATTTTTAGTTTTGAAAAAAAATCAAGAATGACGCAATATATACAGGGTGGCCCATCCATGTGTGGACGGAATATTACTCATAAACAAATACATTTTAGGAAAATCTATTTATGGGGTGTTATGCATGACCTTTGAGGGCACATTTCTAAAATATTGGCCATTACACAGGGTGTCCCAATTTCGACCTATGTATCAAAGTTGTAATTTTTCAAATTGAATGTCTCAAATTTTATTACAATAAACCAATTCAATAGAAGAAAATTGATATAACATACTATGGGGTTTTGGTAATTAGCTACTGAGATATAAGGTGTTTTGTCTAGAAAAACCCCCCACTTCGGCAACCCCTCAGCCCGCCATCTTGAAATTTGGAGTGCTGAATTTTGTAAAAAAATGTACACACCTCAGCTTTTATCTTATCTGTTACTTTTTCGAATTTTAATTTTTGCTCATACAGGGCGGTCAAAAACGCAAATTGTAGTTCTTCTCAAAAATTTCAAATGCATCTCCCTGTATATAGCAAAAAAAAAACCTTATAAAAATCTTAATCCAAACTTGCATAAATATACAGGGTGATGCATTTTAAATTTTTGAGAAAAACCACAATTCGCGTTTTTGACCACCCTGTATGAGCAAAAATGAAAATTCGAAAAAGTAAGAAATAAGATAAAAGCTGAGGTGTGTAATTTTTTTTTTTGATACAAAATTCAGCACTCCAAATTTCAAAATGACGGATTGAGGGGTTGCCGAAGAGGACGGTTTTTTCTGGACAAAACACCTTACATCTCAGTAGCTAATTACCAAAACCCCATAGTATGTTATACCAATCTTCTTTTTTTAAATTGGTTTATCCAAATATGCAATAAAATTTAAGGCATTCCATTTAAAAAATCACAACTTTGATATGTAGGCCAAAATTTTGACACTCTGTATAATTGCCAATATTTTAGAAATGTGCCCTCAAATGTCATGTATAACAAGCCATAAATAGATTTTCTCAAAATGTATTTCTTTATGAGTAATATTCCGTCCACACATGGATGGGCCACCCTGTATATATATATATATATTCGGCCGATTTCAAGCCCAAAATATGAAAAATTCGTTAAAAAAAAATAGTGCGTGCTGCAGTAGAGCCTGCATTCCCCACTAAGCAGCTCTCTGTACCTCTTATAATGTAATTGTAATACTCAGAAACGTTTTTAAAACACATCAAAATTTGAACAATCCTTACAAGAGTTTTTAATTTTACAATTTTTCAATACGAGCAGTACAAGTCAACATATGAGTTTGAAATAGTAATTTAATGAATTGAAATTTCAAAGAAGGGTAATCTTTTCTGTTTCTGACTTTGGTAATTTTTCAATAAATATCAAGCTGTCTTTTCAATATTTTATTGGTTACTCACCTGGTATTTTAAATAAAAAATGATCAGCAACTGTGTGTATCAATCTGTCTTTTATCAGCAAAACTTTAGCTAGGAGGTAATATAGATCTATAGGAATTGCTCCATGGTAATATATGATCAGTGCTGCACCATTTGCAGGCAGGTTTTCTATTCCTTCAATTTCGTAACCTTCAAAATAAATAAATTTACCTCAAATGATGAGGTTTGCTTATGACCTTGAATGCGATAGTGACCTTCAGGGTCATTTGAAAGGCTTAGAGAAACTGAAATGACTTCTGACTAACCAAATATGATGGACGAAAAAGTTTACCACAGACTGTGATCCTGATCAACGTCAAATTTCAAGGTCGTTTTTCATTTTGTGACCTCTAGTAGTGAGTTTGAGGTTATTTGAAAGTAAAATCGAGATACTGAAATTAATACTAGACCTTCTGGGAGTCAAATTATGACTGGCCTTGCAATCATTGATGTTTTTGGAACTTGTAGGTCTGTCACTTTGAAGGCAAAGCAAGCAAACCAATTGACTCTGACACTTGGCATTGAAAATAAAGCCTTGCAATTTGTATTTCACTTTGTCCAAAATAATATTCAGGCCAATCAGGTGATGAATGAGATTATAGGAAAGGTCAAACCTTTAGTAAAATGCACTGTAAATTGTTTGTCATGTCTTCAATTTGTAACGCCAAAATGGATTTGCTAGATTAACAATTCCTGGACTATCTTCATTGACACAAGACTAAAATGTAATGCCAATAACCTACATAAATTTGCTGAAATATAGCTGACTTTGCTAAAGCACCTTACTGTAAATATTGCAAAATTGTGAAACTTTCCCTTCTTTACTAGGTATATATTAATAAACTGAATACAAATGTTTCTCAACTCATCACAGCTATGACCCAGTTGAATATTATTTTGTTTCAATAATTACCAGCTGTATAGTCAGAGGAATAAGTACTAACAAGAAAAATATGTAGTCATTTGAAATACAAAATGTCTAACCATGCCATATAAAACCGTGGGTATCCCAAATAGCACCAACAGACTTTCTTGCTGCCTCCCACTTATCCCCAACTTGTAAAGTTGCCTTTATTTTCTCCCAATGCCTCCTCTTCAAATACAATATACATGCTGTCATATACAACAAGAAGACTATGAATAGTGGAAGCAAAAATGTAATAAGAAGGGGGAATAAGCACCATGTTATCCATAATGAATAGTCAATATCTGGAAATATAAAAATCTAAAATTAATCATTTCCTGTTTGCTAACAATTTAGTGATGAAATATGTACTTTGTTCTAAGTAAAACTGAATAAAGCTACAATTTTCATTCAAGATTCACATATACAGTGATTTGCATATTACAATGATTAATAATTGATAACAGTAGTTTTGAAAAGTTGGTTACTATAATTTATAAAACACAGGTACTGTAATTATTGTGAAATAATTACTAACAAATAGAATTATGTGATTTTAAGGACAATTTCACTTACCAATTTGATCCTTTAAATACCTTAAAATTCCGTCAGGTATCATTTTAAACTTAAGTACTGGCTCATTAGCTTATTGCGTCCCAAATACCTATTTTCAAGTAATCTAGATCATAACTGGGTATTGTGAGGAGCACTTATCATTCAAAAAAACAATTTTTGTTACAATTTTCATAGACTATTCTCTTAATATTCATATTATCACTTCGAAGAACACGTTTGCACTACCTATCACTTGCATGTATGTTTACAAACTGAATTAATTAATCACGTTATCAAAAAAGTAATCATAAAAACAGGAATAAATACAGCTTCAAATGAAACCAATCAGCTGATTTATGTTCCATGTGGCGTTGACAATTCTGTCAATCGTGACATACAAATACAAAAGTGAGGTTAAAGCTAAACATTTCAGCAAAAGGATTAACAGAAAACGAACAAATAAAAACCTACAAAACAGCGCTGGATGCATCAGTAAAACTCACTTAAAACATGTGAACTTGTTCAATACATGTACAAAATGTTGAAAATTCGCAATTTTTTGGGAAGATCTTCCCAACTTCGCAGTTTCACATCCCAATCCAAGCCACAGTTGAATGAGATCTCACTCCTTGGCCAAAATTTCGCCAGAGACGATTACACGAACATCACTGATAAGATATGCTCATACTTAGGAATGAACATTTACCTGGATCAGAACCATCCATTGAGTTTGGTGAGACAACGCATTGTGAACTATGTCTACAAAACCTTCACAAAATCTAGAGGCAATCCTGTGTTTTCAGTGTTTGATCGCTTATCTCCTGTAGTGAGTACGAACCAGAACTTTGACAGCCTGTTGATACCAAAAGATCATCCATCGCGATCAAAAAGTGACTGCTACTATGTCAATAGAGACTATTTGCTGAGAGCACATATGACAGCACATCAGAATGAGTTGCTTCGGGCTGGCCTCAACAATTTTCTTATGATTGGAGATGTCTACCGTAGGTAAGATCCACAATTTTTTTTAAAACCAGAATCCACTTACCTTTTTTTTATAAGTAAGCAGTATTTTTATTTATTAATCTAGCACTATGTAGGTTAGTAAATCATAAAACTGGTCTTACTTGCTTTATTAATGATAGATATGGAAAATGATTGAGGATATACAGTGAACTCTGGTTATAAAGTAATTTTTTGGAGAAAAACATGAGTACTTAACTGGAGGTACACTATAAAGGAAACCCATAAAAATAAATATGTAAATTTTTATTTGGTTTAATTAAAGGACTAAACTAACTAAAATACATTCTAGGTTTGTAATACTAAAAAGATATAGTAATATGAATATGTAACATATATCATTGAAATAGGACATAATCAAAATTAAATATGTACAATTAGATATGTAATTATGCATACAGCTATGATTTTTCGAAAAAATAACTTGTTATTTTTGTTCCTTGATTTTAGTTTGACTCTACAACTTCAGCAATAATGTCACAATCCGTTAAGGTCTCCAAAGCTACCAAATTGTCTTCGATGGTCTAGTCCGGGAAGATATTTTTCCACAGTAGTTACATCTGTGCAGAGCCTTCGTAACCAATCACTTAGGGGGATGTTCCATCCTACGATTTATATTTACTTGCTTCCTTGATTTTTTCAAGATTGCACCAAATTGTAGAAACTGTTGTTTTTGTCATATTTTTCCTTCTTGCAATTTCCGGTTTGTCGATGCCACTCTCGATACTTTTAAAGATGTCTATCTTTTTTTCAAACTTAAAAATCTACACGTGACTTTCATTTTTACAAAACAATAAATACTAAAAATTCGCACAGTTAAATGCAACGTCCAAACTAAAACTACCTGACATATCTAGTAAAATTACAAGACGATTTGGGCGGGTCCAATGAAATAAATACGTAATAACCTGAATTACGTTATATCCCATGCACGTTATAGACTGTAATAGGTTCTGTGCTAGCTGGGATCCATTTTTGTCACTTGCTTTTTGTCCAAAATAAATTTTTTCTTCGCATGACTCATCATTTGCTATTCAGTAATGAAATTAGTGTATTTTCATTTAATTTTAGGGATGAAATTGATAGAACACATTTCCCAGTATTTCACCAAATAGACGCTGTAAGACTTAAAACCAAAGATGAGCTGTTTGAAACCAAAGCTTTGTCAATTTTTGAGGAGGGTGCTAATGAAGCTTTTACAAGTGATCAGGGAAAACAGGCTTGCCATTCTCTAGAAGCAGTTAAACTGATGGAATATGAATTGAAAGAGACCCTTGTAGGTCTAGCCAAAACTCTGTTTGGAGATGAAATTCAGTATCGTTGGGTAGATGTTTATTTTCCTTTCACTCAGCCGTCGTGGGAATTGGAGGTTCATTATGACAACAACTGGATGGAAATATTAGGTATATATACACTAACGCATCATTTTAAATGATTGTAAATAATGTTTGTTAAAAGTTGCAAAGCTGTCAACAGCTGATTGCTTTTGTAAAAAAATCTGGATTATCTTGAAAAAATCGTCGAAAATGAGGACGTTTTCGGTATTTCGGCGGAGAAATACCGAAAAATTGATAGGTTCGGCAACACTGGGGGTGACTATTAAAATCATAAATCGCCATTGTGTGGTGAAAGCCATATTGGATTTAAAATTACGTTTTTATATTACCTTCTTTACGAGTGTCCATTACGGTAGAATAACAGCTAATGTAGTAATATTTCAAAATTCCCCATATCGACATATGACACATTCTTCTGACGGATCCGTCAACGCCAGGTAGACAGAGCTGAATTTTGTTTTTTTTTCGTACTCTACAGATTCTAACAACTCTTTTATTTGGAAGAAAGTTCAATTGAATAAAAAAACGCTACAAGCAACTTTTACTAGATTTACACCCGATTAATTATTGCAAACGTTACAGTCTAATACAAAAATGTCACTTGCTGATCACCTCAGTAGACGTCAAATCGTGATGGAAACTCGTAACATGGGGCTTAGTATCTCTCTCAAGTTCTTTCGGCTGACACTCATATGAGGCTATTATGGAAATGATAAATCGCCATTTTGTACTATCAGCCATATTGAATTCAAAATGGCGACATTCAATTTATTGTGTATTTCCATGAGAACCAAGTGTGTATAAAATTGTAGCTCAATTGGTCGAGGTTAACTGACAGGTTAAATTTAAATAAAAACTTGTACAAAATGAGACCATAGTTTTGGGATGACCCTCGTATAATGCTAACCTATTTTGTTGGTTTAGGTTGTGGAATAATGCAACAACGAATCCTTTCCAATGCTGGAGTAACAGAAAAAATTGGATGGGCTTTTGGATTAGGCTTGGAACGCATTGCAATGTGCCTGTACCAAATACCTGACATCCGCCTATTTTGGTCAAAGGACACTGGCTTTTTGAATCAGTTCAAGACAGCAGATATCAACTCCAAAATAACCTACATCCCTGTAAGCCAATATCCTCAATGCAAAAACGACTTGAGTTTTTGGTTACCAGAAAATGGAGATTTTTCAAGCAACGATTTCTATGACATAGCCCGAAGTGTTGGTGAAGATTTAGTGGAGCAGATTGAACTAGTGGACGATTTTAAACATCCAAAGACTGGTAAAAGAAGTCATTGTTATAGGATCACTTACAGACACATGGAAAAGACTTTAACACAAGCTGACGTAAATTTGGTTCATAAGAAGATAGAGGAAGCTGTAAAAAATGTTGGCGCGGTTGTAAGATAGTAGAATAAAGTAATTTTATTTATTTTGTAAATTTTTTTGTCAAATATATTTTATAAATTGCATATTTTGTATCTTTATTTAGTTTGCGCAAAAAGTGCAGTTTCTATAAATGTTGTCACTACACCAAGAGACAAATTCTCCAGGCTATAATAAGGTAGTGGGAAATTGAAAAACAAACTTTAAATAATGTTTTATATTACTTTAAAATATCAGCTAGTATTTTCTCAGCTTTATCACCCTTATTCAAAGAATTCTTCCAATCGTCCCTACTTCTCTTGAATAATGCTAGATTCACTTTATTTGAAATGATCTGTCCAAATGGTGTATTAGCCCAAGAGGCATCCTTTTTAGACAATTCTTCCATGATCATAATTTTCAGTTTCAACTGAGCACCATTCCATAAAGCCTCGAAGCTTCTTGAACCATATTTGGTAGATGCCAATTCTTGATATGAGCCCATCAACTTTCTCACTAACCTCTCTCTACTTTTCTCACCTACAAATTCTCCTACAACAAGAATAAAAAAGTTCACAAAAAGTAGAAAAAGATAATTATGTAGCAGATAGAACTCAAGTATGGTCACATACAAAATAATATCTGCATCAAATATTTTACATTACCTTTCATATAAGAGTCTGCAATGTGACTTCCCATAGTATTAGAAAACAGATTTTTCAGGTCGTTAGCATCCAAACTTAGGATACTGTTTACTAATTTAATAGGTTTGTTAAAATTCAACAGCTCTTGCACTATCAGGGTTCCATGTAGGTTCAATTTTTCCTTGTGGATATTTCCAGTAGGCATTTCTATAGTTTTATCAAAAGTAGTAAATCTACCCAAACATAAGATAAAACTCTGCTGCTTCTCTTCAGGTTGGAAACAATCCAAGGCTTTCATCAAGTTTTGTGCAAAGCTCCCTTGTAGTGTGCTAAGACGTTTACAGGACTTTGCTAAGGCAAGGATTATTCCTGTAAATAAGGACACAAATATAGGTACTCTAATCTAAAAGATTATATTTCTACAAAGCAATTTCATAAGTGGTAAAAATGGCAACATTGTGCTTGATGGTTGACTGTGATTTGGTGGAGCGTTCAGCATAGTGTTTCTTACTTTCACTCTCTATGTCCACTGATTAACATATTCTACATTAAGATAGCCAACCATATACTGTATTCTGGGGCCCAGAAAATGATCAGAAATATGCTAGTGTCACCTATGAGACAATACAAGATCTTGGAAAGCTGCTTTGAAAAGAGTTAGAGTGTTTGATCCTGCTGTTATCTTGTAGATGGTGCTAGGTTCTTCAATTTCTCTTCAGTGAATCTCTAATGTATATTGTAATGAAGTATCTTCAGGTGGAATACGTAAATTAATGCTTAAATATACCCAATTAAAATAGGCATAAATAAGGCTACCTATATATGGGAAATACTTTGAATTACATATTTTACAGGTTATGCCCAAACAGCTTGCAGTACAAATGGCCCAATGGAATTTGAAATGTGGTTTATGACATAGAAGCTCTCAGTCGCTGGTCTGATATCTCTGATATTAATATATTGTTGCATTAAAATGTTGAAACATAAATGTCCATTATTGCATTACTTTGAATATTGCATTTCTTTGTCTGAAACCAATCTCCTTCACACTAACCATGAATAACCTATACTTCACACTACTTTCACTCAGGCCATGGGTTTAAGCTTCTAGTTCTAGTATATGGTTTAATATCTCAAGGTAGAATATGTTGTTCAATGCTACGACACAGGCTGTATGTAACTTTGTAGCACTGTGTAAGATAATAGTTCATTCATTCAAAAAATTTAAAATGAATATGGCAGTATTACAGAGTTTTTATAAGATGAAAAATTCACATTCCAAGAAGCCTCATTTAAATGCCCTACTATCAGCGACAAGTGTACTTATATAATTATATAACTAGAATAATTATTCTCACCTGTATGTCCTGCTTCTATTATATCTTTGAAGTGGTCTGCTAGCTCTCCAAATATTTCTTCAAATAATTCCTTTTCATTACAATGCTGTACAATCTTCTGAACAGCAAAATTTGTATTACGAGTAATTGCCAACTTTGGTAGTCTCCCAGCAAAATAATGCTTATACAGCTTTTGAAACATTTTGCCCATACATAATTCTATGGAAGTTTCTAACAACATGATCAGAGATTTTGAAAGAAAAACTTTTGGAAATCCTCCTGTCTCGGGTCCATCAGATTTGAATGACTCTTTGGTAAGTTTTTTCAAGTATATTTTAAGCTGATCTTTATCTACGTTAGTTAAGTGCTTTAGCAGAATTTGCAGAAATCCTGATGTTATCTCTGTCTGACACAATTCATTGAACTGAGGCCATGCTATCAATCTTGTAGCATATTCTTTCAAAACTTCAGAACATTCATTATCTTCCATTTGCACCAGTTGCTCTATACAAGTTCTAGTTACATGATTGCCATAAGTATCCCATATGTAATCCTCAAGATTATTGAGTAAGAATTTGCTTACTTTAAGTACAAAACCTGTGAACAAAGTCCTCATTTCTGAATTGGTTTTTTCATCTTTTGACCTCTTACATGCTTGAACTACCATAGATTCAAGAACATGACTTGCAAATCTGTCGTTGCATAAAGGCCGGAGCTCTGCAGAAAATGCTTCAATGTATTTTGCCAATACAGAATCATTGGCAAAGGGAAGTAGTACCTCTATAACACGACACCCTACTTGATTTCTGCTGCAATTTATTTCTGAATTTTCGGTTTGTTCAAAGACATTGTTAACAAACACAATTTTATCCTCATCGTTATCAAATCCCTCTCTGTAGGCTTCCATAATCCTCACGAAGTACTGGTAAGTATCTGCATCCAGTTCAGAACCCCTACCATAATATCCTTTTTTCGCGTATTTTCTCGCATTTTTCAGGAACGACTTCTTTCGTTTCTTGTTACGATTTCTGTTAACAGAAGATTCAGACATAATTCCTGAATGTGAAAAATGGAAAATTTTAATAATCCAGCTTTCAGAACTTTTGAAATGTCGACCAAATGTTGACACCAACCAAAAAACAACTGAATTATAACCTGTAAAAATGAACATGTGAAAGCATAGAATAAGATTGCTTTACAGACTATATTCCTTTGGGACATAGATAAGACCGCCATTTTCACTCCAATTGTTTGACCAATCAACAATAGATGTGGAAGTCCCCACCTCTTTCTTTTTGAGGATCCATTGAAAATGATATTCTTTCTGATGTTTTAGCATCTTTTTTCTTAAGTTCTATGTTCTATGCTTGTCAATTTTGACATTATAAGTGTCTTGACATCTTTATAACCTATAATGTGAAGGCACCTTTTTGAAAATTGAAGACTTTCTATATATCCTTTCAAACAATTAAAGAAATTCCGGAGAAGATAATTACCTCAATATACAGTAAAAAGATGACTGTAAGCAGAGTTGTGCACGAAGGTAGGTCAATTCGTAATTATTATTTATGTAATTAAAGTAACAAAACTAAATTTTATAGGTAAACATATCATGTCTGAAGATGAAGGTAACAGAAGCAGTGATGCTGATGATGAAATGGATGATGGAGAAGGTAGAGAGGTATCGAATGCAGCTTGGGTGGATTCTATTTCAAAGATTTTAAACACAAAGAAACCCAAAAACAAGAAGCACATTGTACTTTCAAAAGCAAAAACACTTTCTGACCTTAAGAAGAAAAAAGTGAAGCCTGTAGGTTTTGAAGTTGAGACAGCTGATGGAGAAGTTAAGAAGGAGGTGATTGAAGAGCCAGAAGAAACAGTTCCAGAAAGAACAAAGAAAAAGGTATTAAAACATGAATTATTTTCATTTATCATATATTATAGTTAGTTAAACTCTAGATACTGTTATTACATACTATCAACTATCAAGTAATTTCTCATAACAAAGATGCTATAAAAAGATATTTTTTTAGAAAAGGGATATATTGAACATAAGAGTTAAACCAGATATATTAGAGAAAGACAGAGAGAGGACCTTACAGAAAATTGCCACAAAAGGTGTAGTGCAGCTCTTCAATGCTGTCAAAATGCAACAGAAAGATATTGGTATGAAATTAAAGGAGGCTGGATCATTAGAAGTAAGAAAGGAAAAGGTTCTGAAGAACATTGACAAAAGGGCCTTTTTGGATGTCCTGATGGGTGAAAAATCTGACAAGGTTTGTACACTGATCCAACAAAGCTTTAATCTGTACCTACCACAGTTTTACTCAGGAATTTCTCAGAATATACATATTTATGTTTTATAATGTCCCCACAAAATGCCAAAGTATGGTTTGTTTTTTTAGGTCGATGAGGCTCTACATAATAGGCAGAAAGCTGAAACTAAAGATGCCTCATGGAGTGTGTTGAAAGAAGATTTTATGATGACTGCAAAAATGAAGGACTGGGATAAAGAGATGGAGTGTGAAACTGAAGATGTACAACAAGAAATTGAATCTGATTGAAGAATTTGTTTTTATTAATTGTATATTGTTGTAAATATATTTTTTCTAAAAATTAGCTTTTCACCCCAGTAATGAAGGAAAATATTCCAATGATTTTAATAAAAAAGTAATTAAATCTGTTTTCTTTTTACTGGCACCTACTTATCCTAATGTAAGTTTAATATTTTTCTTTGCTCAATCTGGTTTATTGAACATAAGTATGTTATTAAGCAATCAACTAAAAGAGTTGTTTTACATTAGAAACACTAAAGCATCTCTGCTGGGCAAAACAGTGCATGAGATACCAAGTGGATGTGTTATAAAATTGCTGAAACAAACTACCTTTTTCCATAAATGTATGTTGATGGGGCGTCCGAGGAAATGCGAAATATAAGGGTTATTGAAACAAGACAGCACAAAGTACCGTATGTTACCAGAATCGTCCACTACGAAAATGGAAACGGCAAGCTTTTTGTTGGAACTGTATCCAAGTTCGCGTTGTCAGTCTGGTGACCACTGTGGCCGCTAGATGCTGCCGATTCTGGAATGTAATTTGGTGGAGGCACCCAAGACTTGTAACATAGC